GAAGACTGGCTCCTGTGTCTCTCTCCCTCATCTGCTCACCTTCAGTTCATTCCACAAACACCATATTCTCTAGTCATCTCTTTTATCCATGTGCAGGAAGGGTATGCAGTTGCCTCCGTGTAGGTAACTTTTGCTCATGACTCTACCCAATGATCTTATTCATCCTTCAATATGCAGCTCCAGTCTCTCATTCTTTGGAAAACATGCCTGGATTCTGTCAGTTGGGCTTAGTACCTATCCTATGCTTGTGCATACATACATACATATATTTATCTCCATACTGAATTTATCAGATCATACTATAATTGTTTACTTATACTTATTTTCCCATTAGATAATGAACTCTAGCTGAGGGAGGGCAGGGACTTGCCTTTCAACCCTTTAACCTTATTACATGATTTGAGTTTAGTAAAAGGTTGTTGAAAAAATGAATAAATTAATGACCTAATCATGTTTTCTGCTTTCTTGCCTCACTTAACAGTGAACTCAGCATGTGTCCACTAGGAAATGGTCTCCAATAACTTCTCTAGTGTTAACATTTTATGATTCTTTCTATGATCTAATCAGTAGTTCACATTCCTTTTATAGTTGTGTTTTCTAACCCAGGGATTTAACTGTGAGCAACATAAGGGAAAGAACTAACACTTGCTGGGTACTTATGAGGGGATAGGCACCATGCCAGGTGGTTTACATGCATTATATGTCATCTCATCCTCTGTAGAGTGGGCATTATTGCATCACTTCTATATACAGGAAACAGAGACTGAGGAACACAACCAGTAGGCGTCAGGGCCATGACTCAAATTCATATTTATTTATTTGTTTGTTTCTTTGTTTATTCTATTATATCACACTGCATTGTACTATAGGATTTAGCACTAGTAAATGGTATGAAAAGGCTATAATAAAAGACTATTCCCCCCAACCTTTCTTTTTTGAGACAGGGTCTCACTCTGTTGCTCAGGCTGGAGTGCCATGGTACAATCATGGCTCACTGCAGCCTCAACCTCCTGGGCTCAAGCAATCCTCCCACCTCATACCGCACCCAATAGCTGGAATTATAGGTGTATACCACCACACCCAGATAATTTTCAAATTTTTTGTGGAGATGGGGCCTCACTTTGTTGCCCAGGCTGCTTTTGAACCCCTGGACTCAAATGATCCTCCTGCCGTGGCCTTCGAAAATGCTGGGATTACATGTGTGAGCCACTGCGCCTGGCCCCATTTATTTTAATGACACTCAGAAAGCTCTGTAAATTAAATGTGTATATTTATTTTAATAGTGCTAAGTAACAAAGCACTATATTCTCATTTCAAGAATATCAAATACCTACCAGACTTAGAACATCACAGGCCATGTTTAATAAATGTCGAATCTAATATAGAATACATTATATATACATATATATCTATATAATGTATAATATAAAAATAAATCAAGGTGTGATGAGTGGAAGACTATCAGTTAAGGCTTATTTTTCTCATAATTAACTACTTAGGGTTGTGGTGAAGAATAGGAAGTCAAACTTAAAGCAAAAGTTTTAATAGTCTTTAGCAAAAGTTGATCATAAAAAATAAATATTAAAAACGTATTTGTTGCCAGGTGCAGTGGCTCATGCCTGTAATCCCAGCACTTTAGGGGGCCGAGGTGGGCAGATCATGAGGTCAGGAGTTCGAGACCAGTCTGGCTAATATGGTAAAACCCTGTCTCTACTAAAAATACAAAATCAGCCGGGTGTGGTGGTGCATGCCTGTAATCCCAGCTACTCAGGAGGCTGAGGCAGGAAAATC